GCCGGGAGCTCCGCCGCCGACAGGACTACGATGGTCAATGCTGCAAAACTCACTACTCCTGGTAATTATTGCCCCTCTTCTTTCTCTTGGACCAATGAGCAAATTTTAAATTATTGAAACAAGTTAAAAGTTTTGGGTGCAAAAGATATGATGAAGCATGTGAAGTACATATATTTAGCATAAATTATAGTTCGAAAGAATTTAGGATTTACGAAATTTGGTGAAAAGTTATTTTTTATACATGTTTTGATTTTTTTTTTGTTGGAATAAAACAATTTTAGACCATGGATTATAAAAATTTGCAACAAAATAAGAATGATGATAATACACTTGAAATTCAGTGTTACGCTCCAAAACGATTGAAATGATCTGGGAAAAAAAAATCATTACCATTCCAGCTACTTTCTAGATTGTAGGTATATTAGATAAGTTAATAAGTTTAAGTTTATACAGTGGCGGATCCACCCTGATCAAAGTGGGGTCACGTGACCCCACTTTGGTCAAGGTGGACCAAGGATCCCTTCAACAAAGAAGGGCACATTTCATAAAACCCCTCTTTTTAAGTTTGTTTATTTTTAGAAACCTCCCTTCAACATTTATTATTTTTCAGAAATCCTAAAAATCTGCCATTGAGTTTATAGACATGTTGTTTTAATATGTTTAACATAAAAAGTTTTAAAATGTTTAATAGACATGTCTTACATCGATTATGTCGAAGGTAAATCATTCATTATGGTGTACAATTCTTAAAATCATGTTCAGGAGAAAATTATCAAGTAACTAAATATATGTTTGGATTTCAAAACTATATAAATTTCTAATTTCTTATGTTATTATTTTTGTAACAGAGATATCGATGCCAATGGCAAGGAGAGCTTCACTTCACAGATTCCTTGAGAAAAGAAAAGACAGGATTAATTCCAGAGCGCCCTATCAATTGAACGACTCTTCTAAAATTGGGTCTACTACTAAACCTCTAGAGGCGAAGTCATGGCTTGGATTGGGGCAGGAGATCTCAAATTAAGCTTATTAATTTTGAATGATATGTATACGTTTCGTTCTTGGATATCAAAGGAATAGAAAATTCTTTTTTTTATTATTATTAAGATAAGTGATAATTGTTTGGGAGAGATGGGAGCTTATCCCATTTTTTGTGGGAAGTTGCACCGTTTCCCACTTGGCAGTGAACATTTCAACCTTGGCCATACTAATTGAATTGTAATGTTTTTTTTGGTCATGCAGTGTTCATGTATAATGTAATTTTCTAATCTTAAACATGTTTTATATGTTGTTGTGAATTTTTTTTGGCTCTTTATCCACTATTCAAGCTAAAATAACATTTTTTTAATCTTGAAAACAGTGTTCATATCTTTTTTTTCTTTTGGTTCTTGCAAATGATGAATTTAATCTTTACCAGACATTTCAGATGGTATCATATATTTGTAAATTTGTCATCTTAAGCCAAGATTTGTTCGATGGTATCAACAATATTTCATCAAACTTTTTGTGTTTTCTATTACATGATCGTTGTAGCTTTGGTTGAAATCCATCACAATACATCATAGGCCTCATTCAAAAGGGTATTACGATAAATTCATTTTCTCGCATTAATTTGACAGTGTTATGTTAGATCTAAATCAAAACTTGAGATCTAAAACCATATAGCTATGATTAATTCAAAGAGATTAACAATAATCTAAAAGAGCGGAAGCTTATACCTGAATCCATTGCTTAATCTTGAGATGAGTTTTGATCTTCTAACCTTAGGGTTTCTCTAAATCCGAATTTCTATAGCTAGATGGGGGTGTAGAGAATTAGAGAATGTAGTTTCCCTAGATTAGGGACCATAACCTCTTATTTATAGATGTTGTACATTTGTAATTTAGCCCCTCAATAAATCACAATTACAACCTGGTATCTGCACATATAACCCCATGATTATATTTAAATACCCATTAACCCAACTTAATTGATCACTTTAGTGGGTTATCCTCAAAGATAGCAATACACATTGATTAATCATATGTGCCCACAAATAGATTTATTAGATTAAATCCAACAATCTCCCACTTGGGCACCATATGATTCCTTAAATTGTGTATAACCTTATGAGCTCAAAAAATGCTATCACTGAAACCAAACATAAAGCACCACAAATACAAACTCCCACTAAAACATAATATCCTCAAATAATACCACACCCATATGAGCAGTATGCTCATGAAAGACCTTAGGTGGCAATCCCTTAGTAAGAGGATCAGCTATCATGGAGTTTGTCCCAATGTGCTCTATGGATATCTGTCCACTCTGTACCCTTTCTTTCACAACCAGGAACTTAATGTCAATATGTTTTGACTTAGTTGAGCTCCTGTTGTTATTGGAATACATTACTGCAGATTTATTGTCACAATATAACCTTAGTGGTCTTTCAACATTTTCCAAAATGCGCAGTCCCGTGACAAAATTTCGCAGCCATATTCCCTGATTGGATGCCTCATAGCAAGCTACAAATTCTGCTGCCATAGTGGAGGAAGCTACTAGTGTTTGTTTGACACTTTTCCATGATATAGCTCCTCCTGCTAACATATAAATGTAGCCTGATGTAGACTTCCTGCTATCTTGGCATCCAGCAAAATCAGAGTCCGAATACCCAATGACCTCTAATTTCTCTGATTTTCTGTATGTGAGCATGTAATCTTTTGTTTTCTGAAGATACCTCATAACCCTTTTGACTGCTATCCAATGATCCATACCAGGGTTGCTTAAGTATCTGCCTAACATCCCAACAATGTACGCAATATCCGGACGCGTACATACCTGAGCATACATTAGACTTCCTACAGCCGAAGCATAAGGAATCTTCTGCATTTCCTGAATTTCAAGGTTACCTTTAGGGCACTGATTGAGACTAAACTTGTCTCCTTTAGCAACAGGGGTGTCACCTGGTCTGCAATCTTGCATGCCAAACCTTTTAAGTACCTTATCGATATAGCTCTTTTGTGATAATCCAAGAATACCCCGAGAGCGATCTCGATGTATCTGGATCCCTAATATAAAAGAGGCGTCCCCAAGATCTTTCATCTCAAAATTCTTTGATAGAAATCTCTTGGTTTCGTGTAACATGCCTATATCATTAGTGGCAAGCAAGATGTCATCGACATACAGAACCAGAAAGATAAACTTACTTCCACTGAACTTGTGATATACACAGTCATCAACAATGTTCATCTCAAAACCGAACGAGATAACTATTTGTTGAAACTTATGATACCATTGACGAGGAGCTTGCTTGAGTCCATAGATGGATTTCCTTAATTTGCAGACCATATTCTTTGGGTCTCCTGACACAAAGTTTTCTGGTTGCACCATATAAATCATCTCATCAATGTCTCCATTGAGAAATGCAGTCTTAACATCCATCTGATGTAACTCAAGATCATAATGAGCAACAAGTGCCATGATTATTCTGAAAGAGTCTTTCGATGAAACCGGAGAGAAAGTCTCTGTATAATCAATGCCTTCCTTTTGAGTATAGCCTTTAGCCACAAGACGTGCCTTATACCTCTCCACATTACCATTTGCATCCCGCTTGGTTTTAAAAATCCATTTACAACCAATTGGTTTTGCACCTTCTGGTAATGGGACAAGTTCCCAAACCTTATTGTCTTGCATAGACTTGTACTCTTCATTCATGGCATCAATCCACTGTTGAGAGTTAGAACTTTTCATGGCCTGAGAGAAGTTGATTGGATCATCTTCTAACATTCCACTACTTTCCTCATGTTCTTGGAGAAATACAATATAATCATCCGGAATAGCATTTCTCCTTTCTCTCGTGGATCTCCTTAATGGCACTGGTTCTTGAGGTTGTTGAGTTTGTTCTTCTGGAACAGGGAGTTGTTCAACATTATCATCTTGAGGTTCCGGATTTACTTCTTGAGCAACAACAGGTATAGGAACCTGAATATTGTCAAAAGTAACTGTATGGATTGGATCTGAAGCCAATTCCTCCTCAAAACTAATGTCTCTAACCTTATTTCTCCCCCCAAACTCAACATCCTCAAAGAATGTTGCTGTTCCCGTTATATATATATATAAAATCACAAATCCTATTTAGGTAATTACAACGTGAGCATAAGTACGTCGAGCGAAATAATCCAAACAAGGAAACCCTCATGTATATACTATGCAGCTCAGATTGTAAGTACCTAGGTATAAGAGGATTTTAGTATTTAGGAAGTTACAACACGAGCATAGGTACGTCGAGCGAAATAATCCAAACAAGGAAACCCTCATGTATATACCATGTAGCTCAGATTGTAAATCCCTAAATACCAAACCCAAAATCTAATGCAAGAACAAATAACTTAAAAGAATACAAAACCCATCTCTACTGCCAAACATAGTGTCATGTTGAACTCACATGAGTGTCATATGAGAAAACGATTAAGTGTCCAACACATAGAATATATAGATTAAATGTCCAACACATGGACTGCATGAAGTAAACGTCCAACACATGGACTGAAAATAACGAGTGTCCAACGCATGGACTGAATATAACCATTGTCTAACGCATGGACTGAATATAACTGATGTCCAACGCATGGACTGAATATAATCAATGTCCAACACATGGACTAAATGTAACCAATGTCCAACACATGGACTAAATATAACCAATGTCCAACACATGGACCGAATGAAATGAATGTCTAACACGAGGACTGAAAGGTAATGCATGTCCAACACGGGGACTGAGTAAAAGGTATGTCCAACACGAGGACTAAACATAAATTATGCAAAGTGTAAGTGTCGATGATACATGTATACACAAAAGATACACATAGGCTAATGTCACACGTGCCTCGGTGTGCGGATCGGTACTTGTGTCAAAAGTCAACTCACATGTACAGATAAATCACTAACATTATAAACTAGTGTCAGATAATCGAGGCGACCCCAAAAAGCAACTCAAACAGATCAAAAATCTGTAAAACACCTCATCAGTCGACTCATGTGTCGACTAGGATTGGTCGACTCATTGGTCGACCAGACAAAACACAAAAAATTGAACACTTTCCCGTCAGTCGACTCATTAGTCGACTCATCAGTCGACTCATAAGTCGACTCATGAGTCGACTCATTGGTCGACTGAGCAGAAAATCCCCAGTTTTCTGCTTACGATGATTATCTGCGAAAAAATTAATAAAAACTAAGGTTCTCTTTGTTCATGTCCAGCAATATATATTCAATTCTAACACATGTATATCAACAGAAAAGAAAGATTTGCATGTATTATTTTGCATTAAAACCCTAAACATATTTCTTCATGTTTAAAAACATGTTGAAATTATTAAATCACATGAAACCCATTTTTAAGACTAATTCCAGATCTGGATCTATATTACAAAAATGTTGGTGTGCTTTTTACTAACTGGAAAATATAGATCTTGCAGCTTAGAATGTAAAGCATCTATTTTATACAAAAAATATGTTTTAGGCTCAAAAATCTGAAATAAAAACTCATAGAAACTATACAAACAGTGGGTGAGGAGGGCTGGGCGAGATGTTACTCGCCTCTGGTATGCTGACCAACTCCTGAATCCGAGAGAGAAAGATCTCCTATGCTGCACCTCGTCAAATCCCGCTGAAATCCTCCGAAAAATCCCCCAAAAATTTGAGGGGAGAGAGGGGCTAGGGTTTCTCTGATAACTGATGGGTTTTCGGGTTGGTTTCGGGTAGGAGAGATTTTATATAAGTGGTGGTTTCTCTGATAACTGATGGGTTTTCGGGTTGGTTTCGGGTAGGAGAGATTTTATATAAGTGGTCAAATCCGAAACAAAACCAACCCAACCCGCAAATAAAAGAAAAGCTAGAAATCAGCCCGTCAGTCGACTCATTAGTCGACTCATTAGTCGACTCATGAGTCGACTCATAAGTCGACTGAGCAGACATTTATTTCCAGATTCGTGCATGTTTTGTTATTTAGCCAAAACCAATGCAAGAACTCTATGAAACCACACTTATACATGTCTAGAAACATGCTACCAAGTATATCCATGACCTCATGTCATTTACCACACATAGAACTATTTATCACCAATAGTTCATATATACTTCTAATAAAATACGGGGTTTTACATTCTTCCCCCTTAAAAGAATTTCGTCCTCGAAATTCAGAAATCATACTCAAACTAATAATATTACTCTAGACAAGCATATAACGATATTTATTTTTAACAATTCAGGATGACTATATTCCCACTCAACCCTTATCAAATGGAACTAGTACGTT